TTGCGATCGGGTTTTTGTTTTCTTAGGCGGGCACACTTTAGAGGCACTAATGAATCAATGCAAAGACCAATGATATCATAGAACACGTCTGCTGCTTTTTGAGGGCATGGAGAGAGGAAGAAATAATCCCAGTTCATCGAACGAACCATATCCTTAAACGTGTTCCAGTTGACGGAGTTGAATGAACGATAGTGCAGTGGGTGTGGTTCACTGGCCATGCGTAATCTTAAACAGCATTTGACCACCCGATGGTCGCTCCCAGGGAATTCATTAAGGACCGTTACATTAATAGCAGGTATGCCCAGCGAGAAAATGAGATCAAGGATGCTGTTTCTTCTGGTAGGTTTGGAGACATGTTGTTGCCAACCATTCATATGAATACAAGAGATAAGATTATGAAATTTCAGAGGAGCAGTTCCTGCAGACCATGCAATCGATGGCAGATTGAAATCACCACCGATAATCTTGTGTTTAAACGGAAGGCTTGCGGCACATTCAAATGCAGACGTCAAAACTACTAAATCCTCTTGGCTACAGTTTGGCGTGCTGTATATACAACCAACAAGCAGTTGCTGGTGTCTGATCGTTATCGTAAGCCAAAGTGACTCTTGCACATTATTCAGCACTGGATTCTCGAATGTCGTTGCTGCCAGCGATTGTTTCGCGTAAAGTACGCATCCTCCTCCTCGACGACACTGCCGATTTCTCATAAACATATCATATCCGAAAATGGTTAGCTGGGTGTTAGACATGTCGTCATGGCACCACGACTCAATTATAAATATTATGTCAGGATCGGTCACAGAAACAAATGAGCGTAGTATGTGGATCTTGGAATGAAGCGAACGAATATTAATCAAAAATATTAACATAGATGCGAGATGTGAAGAACGTTGTTTATGCTGCTTTATGAACATTGGGTCTGATAGCTTTGTGTCTGTGCCCATGCCAAAAATTGGTAAAACAAGGCGTGGACTGACACCTTCGTTGAAAAGGGATTGGGAGGTAGCCACAGGGGTGGGGGGTTGTGACTGAGTATGGCCCTGTAGAAAATGGGATACGGGGGCGGGTCCATGGTCGGCATAGCAGCTCATGCGGGCAGGAGGATTATAGAGCGGGCTTCCACGGAACTCGCTAGTAGACGCTAAATTTCGAGGCTGTGTCGCCTGCGTCGTGGCACTAATAGGTTGTTGATTGTATAGATTGGTGAAATGAGTAAATACGCAATTGTCATCTTCATCGTGGAATGTAACCTGCTTAGGTGCGCTGGAGTCGTAAGGCTTCACTATAAGCGGTGGAGGCACACTAGTGTCAATCCATGCAGCTCGAACAGAATACATCGTGTTTTTTAAACATGAGTCCGGATTTTGGTGATAAACAGATAAATCGCGTTCAATCTGCAAAGATGTTGGGGCACCTTGTGTGCCTTCATGGCCTTGATCAATGGATGGATGGCTATTCAGGCAAGGTGATGCTATGGATTTATCCGGTGACATTCTCGATAAATCCAAGTCAACCGTCATCATACAATCGATCCATTTTCCTGAGTCCTTAGATGTCTTAGATGATCCTATATACTGGCCAGGGTAGACTTTTGGTGGGATAACACAGGCTGAAGTTTGTGGCTTTGATTGAATATGGGGTTCAACGGGTACTGAAGTTGGTTTTGTCTGAACCGCATTGTTTCCTCTTTTCTGGCATGAAACAGCATTGAAGAAGCTTTTAGGATTACCGGAACTGGCTTTTTGAGAGGCACCAACGTGCACAACCGCAGCGCTGGGGTTTGCAGGCATTTTGTGTTTGGTCGGCTTATCACGCTTAACCGTGAAATTTCGTTCTGGTGGATGTGTGCCGGTGATCAATTTTGTAGCCGGCATAGCCGAAGTGCCGAAACTGGGCGTACTCCTAGACACAGCAGATAACGGGCTAGACTGATCCGTGTGAACAAGCGATCTAATTGGGGTACCAGAGTTGATTTCGTTATTCGCCACGTTATCCGTAACTGCAGCAGGCGTGGAACAAATGCCAAACTTGTTGCTGCCACCAACAGAAACATTTTCAGAATGGGGTTTAGCAGTCGGGTTTGCTTCTAGCTGTCGTCTTCTAAGCTCTCGCTGTAAGGGGGTTTTGTTCTCTATTATTTTCAGACGTTTGAAAGTCGTATTATGCTGAATCAAATTGCAATTTCGAATGAATTGTCTAGCAATTAGTTCATTTTCAAACTGGAATAGTATGGGACAGTCATAGCGTATAAACTTTTTACGTAGCCTAGTGCAGCTGGACCAACAAGTTTGCATGCCGCACGCAGACAGTAGAACTCTCTGAACAGTTTTCATAGGTACCTTGTCAGGTACATTAAAAACCACAGCATTGCGTGAGCAACGTGCTCGATTCTGTACTTCGGTCGAAATTGAGTCAATCAGCGAGCTACATTTCGTGATAGGCATTTTACCAATATCTGAGGGCGATTCAAATAAGGCAAACAGACTATGCATGGGCTGCAGCATAGATGTGAGCGTGTCAACTTTTAATGATAGCGCAGCATACGCAATTTCAGCTACAAAGGGACATTTTTCAGGTGTCTTTTTCAGGTCAGCAAGAAATGCACAACCATCTGTCACAGCGCCTACACTCTTTCGGGTGCTTTTTCTGCTACTACCGCCGGATGTTTTGCGTGGTACCTTAGTTTGTTCGCTGAGCTTCTGAACTAAGATGGGGACATCCTTGTTTACAACACAACTTTTTCTCATCGCGCGTGTCCTTACTGCATACATGAGAGAAAACCAAACGTAAGTTTCACGATAACAAAAATAAAAATTGCGTTGAGCGTGGTCGCGTGGTGGTAGTGAGAAAGTGAAACCAGAAAATTGGACGAATTAGTGAGGAACAGAGGGAACGCACCGCAGTTGACTAGCAAAATCCACGCCTTCGTGTAAGTTGTGCACGTCTGTCACCAATGCCCTTTGTCTCCCGACGGCTCAGCGTCAGGTCAGTTGCAAAGTTGATCTCGTGTCATGACTGGCCACGCACACGGTGCGCTCGGGTCACGTGTTATCGGATCACGTCGGCGAGATGCGTCAACCAGGCGAAGGACTTGCGATTTATCAATCGATTCACGGCGCTGTTGGCTTTCGGGCGGTGTTTGTCACCGTCAGCTTTTTCGCAATGCGTCAACGGCCACACTGTTGGCAGTAGATTTTTTTCGATATCTAGCTTGTATGAAAGCCAATCGAGATGGCTAAGGGTTTATTCGATGGCACTCGAATTTGTCTTGCAGTTGAGACCAGAAATAGTCTTGTCGAGTTTAGAATAGACGGAAGGCAGTAAAAGTGCCGATTGACGAAAGACGGTAATCCGTGGAGAAGCAGTTTGTCACAGTTTTTGCAGAAACCGACAGGAATATATCCAAAAAACTGCATTAAGGTCTGTATGCCTTCAAGAATTTCTTCACGTCATACCAATTCTCACTTTTCCTAGACATTCAAGATACATGATAAGCCAGAGCAAACAGTGCATTGCTTTCAAGTGGAATAATCCGTAAACCATAAGTTGCATTGTTCGCAAGCTGGAGATATTCCTATTTGTTTCGCCTGTTTTTATACTTATTTTACTTATGGGTATCCGTACAGATGACATAATCTGATTCACGCGCGTCAACTGAATTGTATCCTTTTGCGCATTGCAACCTGTAGATGGGAAGGAACTAGTTAAAGTTTACTTAGCACTCTTTGGTATCTAATTTACATTTTGAATCAAGTTGTCTATGCCTTCATTGAACTGATACATTTTACCAGATTTTCACTGCGGGTCGACGATTAGGATGAAGAGGATGTTCAAAAAACCTATCCTAAGCGTGTCGGTTAGTGGCCTGTAGCAGTACCGTACGGTAGTAGTAGCTATCTAAGCCTAAATTCTTGCACTTATGACACTGCCATACAGCTTGCACGGATATTTCTGGTCTCGCACGCATGCACAGATGAACTACGAAAAGTAATCTGATCCCATTACTGGTTCCAGTAACCTAGGTATTCGAAACACATTTCTTTGGGTCATTCCGTTGAATTAGTTATATGAGCCTTATGCAATTGTTGCTCGATCGAGTTATGATTGCCCCTACTCGTTTTTTCCACTTTTATAAACTTTAGTATTTTCGACAATGCCCGCTTAGTAATTTTTCAGTTGATGGTGCAAAATTCTAAAAATGCACACATTTGAGTACCTAAGGCTTATGCTGACTTGACGAACCAAAGTGTTGGATTGGTGAACCACTAAATTAACACTGTGGTTTCCATTGTAGGATATCGGTTCGATACATTCCTTGGCGAAGGAACCAGGCAAAAGTGTTCTTGAGACTAAATCCCAAGTTAGATCAGGCGCGGCGGTCGATCCCACAGCCTGGGGCACAAGGGCTACTCAAGCGGAGAAACTGAAGGTCCACGATATTGACAGAATCGGCACGGCTACTAAAAAGAGGGAGCCACAACAACAGAGCTTTTTGCCATATGATGCCGTTGGCCTTAAGAAACGTCCTCAATTAGTTGGTAAGCATGCGACGCCTTCCCAAACTATTGATTTGGTTCCGAGTATTATTAAACTGTTGTCGTTTGGAAGAGTTACTACTGTCAAGTAGTCACGTAGATAAGTATCCATGGTATCACCAGACTATTCCACTACGGTTTATCGATTGCTTCGTTACAAGGCATCGGGACTGGCCGTTGAATTGAGAATTAGCAGGGTTGCTTAGGAAATATTTGTTCGCTTGTAGGATGTTTAACATGTGGTTTCTCAAGGCTAACCGCGTGGATACACTGCTTTAACTGGGTGGCGATTGTGCTGTAGGTAATGTATCATCATCATCATCATTACACATTACCTGGAGGTGAAAAATCTCCCAGCTATTGTGCCGCAATACAAAAGACAAGAAAAGGAAAAAACAGTGGCACGCCCGCTGAGTCCCCAGTAACGGATAGACATCGTTCCGGAGAGCTAACGGCTTGCTGCTGTCAAAGAGAGTCACATTATGCCTAACATGTGAGATCGTGATTGGAGAGGGATGCTAAGCAGGAGGGGGATGGACAAAGGAACTCACAGCACAAACGTCATTAGGGCCGGCTCCAAGCCATATCAGCAAGCGGGTCCAACCAAACGTGTTCACCGTCCTTAGGACCCCAGCCAGGCAGTCGGGATGCACCAACCGACGCCAACTTCGAAGTGAGGGTTTTCATTTCTCTCGACCAAGGTAATGTATCAGCTAGAAGTATTACCGTTCGAAACCTTGGAATTTGTTTGGAATATGTTTGTATTGACGATATTTATTCGATATCGTATTGGTCATCTGCGAATAAAACCTTACAAGGTAAAAATGACAAAAAGATTCGTCCAAACCAATTTACGGTTATACAATCTCAGAAACAGAGAAGGAAATGCCAGGCGACGCTTTAATACGGCCCTCGTGCGTGGTAGTCGGCAAGTGTCGGCCGGTGGCCGAGTGGTCTGCACATCTGGCTCACAAACCTAAGGCCACCGGTTCGAATCCGCGAAAATCGGACATCCTCGTGGTCTACTCAGCCAATGGGTGACTGGTGGTGGCTGGGCGACAGCCGAGCGCCGGTACGGCGTACATCTGATGTACATCTGCTACTAGACCGCAAATGAAGGTGGACAACCGTCACCACTGATTAGTGCCGGTTAGAAGGCGAATCAGGCTATCACCAGGTTTGTTAAGAAGGTCTAAATTGCAAGGCTAATTCCCGTATCCCCAAGTTTCCCATTAGGCAGCCACCATCATATGTGACACATAAGGTGCTGGAGCCAGTAGCATTAGCTGAAAGGCAGCAAGAGTAGTTGGCGCAACTTTGACTAAAATCCCACATGGCCTAGTGGCATAAACCGCTGACTTCCAAATGCAAAGGAGGTAGGTTTGACTTCCGGAGGAGTCGGGCGAATATGTCTTACCAACTACCCCAGTTGGTTAAAACCGCCCAATGTGGGAGTGAAGCCTGAATGGAAGTGCTATGACGAATCCCCTCTAAATGTACACCGAATTCATTCTATTACCCCTAGAAATCTTAAAGATTGGTAACATCTATTCTACAAATGTATAACAGCCATTGACAAGTGCATTATATCCACAAAAGTTTCTAATGTTTCCTCGCTTTACTGATAACGTGATCATCCAAATGAGACAGTCGTAAGAAGGAAGCATATAACCTGGCTTGAGACCTAAGTGTGCAGAGTAACCATTCAGAAACCACACACCCAAAAACATCATCAGCGAAATGCGCTCAGAAACCACTGGAGTTCATGCGAGGATAATATACCATGGAGAGAGTCTGTTCAGATGTCGCTCTCTCTACTCGAGTATTTAACGATTGGAACCTACTGCCGGACTCGATTGTCAATGCGCACTCAGAAGTAAGTTTCAGACATTTGTTAGACACTTTCCTACTGAGTACTCCAGGACTCTGCAGGATTGATACTACATCCTGAGCGCTGCCACAACCACCTCGCCTGCAATCCTTGAAAGATCGGGAAGAAGAAGATGACACGTCTCCTCACTTCTGCTCTCTGCCACTCAATGAACTAGATAGAATCAACGACCTATATTCGCGATATGTTAACATCTCTTTCTAGTGACCACCGAGTTTGGGTGTGGGGGTTCATTCCGAGTGTTCTAATTGTCTGCAAAGCAGGGTAAATTGGAAATAAAAACAGTGGTAAAAGTGTATTGCGAACGAATTTTATTACGCGCAAGAGATAACACATAGATATAGGCTGTGAGATGTGTAAACTTTATTACCATCCTAACCTAGAACAATAGACACGAATGATTTTGGAAAGCGAAGAAGGATTCCTGAGGATAATCAAGCATAGAACACTTTTAAATCTTTAAATCTTGAATGTTATCTATGCTCAGAAACAATCGCAATCTTCTCTGAAGCGTACCAAGTCCAGTCTATGTTACCGTCGGAGCGAGTATAGAAGCCGGCGCACCCAAGTGTTGAGCCCAACTCGTCTGGATGGCAATCCGGCACGCTATCACTACGCTAAGCTAATACTTACTTCGCCCCACCTGTACGTCGGCAATAGCATCGTCATTACCGCATGGCTGTTGTACCATAACAACACCGTCAGAATCACGGGATCGCTGGTGGCGTATTCGAAAGTCCGGTGTTTCTACATCACCGGACGTCACGATTTTTCACGGTCAAACTATAAAAACTAAACTGAAGCGCATCTAAAAGAAGCACCATAATTCCACTAATAAGCATCACGCTGGATGGAGGATTGCTCTACGGAAGAAAAATTGCGGTGTATGAGCATATCCATCATAATAAGCGCGAATATCTCATCAGTTATGAACAAAATGGATGAAATCAAAAGCGCAATTCGTTGTCGTGTATACTCGAAGCTTGGCGTACTTATGTTTCAAGTGACTTGGTTCCACTAAGAGGTTGACGATGAGGTTGTAACAATTGAGAGATTCGTTTGCCATGGTGTCGAACGGTCAACTACAAAAAAGAGCCGCGGCAGAGGTGTCATCACTTCTGTCAATCCTGTGTGGTGTACGCCAAAAAATGTTGGTTTCGCATTGCCTCTCCACGTATTACCTGTTTGAGTTTGAAATGTAAACCAAGCTGTAAAGGTGGATACCAATCAATTTTACTTGCAAAAATCCATATTGGAACAAGTTGTCTCGCTATCGGGACTTGGATGTGCCACGTATGACTGTGTAAATTACTCTAAATATAGTAAAATTATACCTTACTTATGTAATAGGGAATAAGACGGCTTGCCTGTTGGAACATCGTTCCGATTTGTTTAAAACACCAATACCATATCTGCATTTGGCGTGCGCAACTCCACTGAGAACGACACCCTGTCCACCCACTCTATTCGTAACTACATCTTACCTAACTAGCTCTCATCTGGTGCCCTATTTTCGCGTTAGCTAGCTCTTCTCCCGTTCAATAAACCTTTTCCGTAGCTTATTTTCGTGTATTCTCCAGTATGCTCAAGGTTGATTGTTTAGTCTCTTAGCGGATACATAACGCACGATCGACGCACTATAATTGGTAACCCAAAAGTGTTTGGTGATTTTACTCCTAATATTTCTTTTCAGATGCGGTCTCATTTCGCTTCTCACCGTCCAATTTTCATTTTGTTCTCTTCAACCTTGCTGGCTAGACAAAGCTTCGCTATGAAGGTTATTCATCCAGAATCGGACGACCAGGTTAATAGATTCAGTCTCCCTGTCCTGTCTTTTAGAAGGACTAATTCTAAGTAATGGTTTAATCAGCCAGAATCCATCTTTTCGATAGGTGGCGTTGAGTCTGACAGTATCAACTGCCATTGAGCTGTCAGAAAGCTTCCTCAGCAACTCGTCGATGATCTGGAGGACGTTTTATGGCCTCCGTAATATCATAAAATCTACAAAGAGCTTGAGTCCGTCGTCTTAAAGTGCTTCGGGATATCAGAACACGCTCCCTTTACGCAGCTCCTTAACGGAACCGAACTAGGCGATCGAAAACTTTTCAGCTGCTGCACAAGATGCAGATTCTAGCCAAGCCTCTCTGTTGGCCCCTTTTCATAAAGATATGTGGCTTCATTGCCTGCCCCGTGACATACGCAACACCGTGTTAACAAATGACGCGTCTCTTTCCCAGCTAGCCGATGTCGCGGACCGTATTTGGGAATGCAACGCTCATTTTTCAGGTTCAGTTCACTTCCAGTACGGATGTAGCGGAGCTAAGAGCGCAAGTAGCGGCAGTTGCCAGTCTACTAGAGAACCTAACACCGTCCGGCTCCAACCGTCGTAATAGTTCCAGCAGTCTCACTTGTCCTAAATCACATTCGAAATCTCTCCCTAGGTCAACCTATTGTTGATACCATGAACGATCTGGTCGTCGGGCCAGATCTCGTTGCCCTGTTAATCCCAGGGCAACACGCAGAGAAATGGGCCGGCAAGCACGTAGGGGCGACGGACGTTGTTGGCTGCTGCAGTCGTCTTTTCGTCATGACCGATCGCAGTACGGCAGTGCGTTATCTCGTTGACGCCGGTGCAGAAGTCAGCGTTATCCCACGTGATTCTAATGACGTTGTTGAAGAGTAGACTGGTTTATTGCGCACAGCAAACGGCACCACCATTCGCGTGTATGGTCAACGCTCTCGCAAGCTTAATTTAAACCTACGACGTTCCTTTAAATGGATCTTTCTCATAGCAGATGTCCGGAGGGCAATTCTTGGTCTTGACTTTCTGCAGCACTTCGATTTGCTTGTTGAAACGAAGAAACGCCGTCTGATCGATGGTCAAACTTTGACCGACATTGAGTCAGTCAGTCCTGTATACTCCAACCAGTCGAGCTCAGTTACCGATCAGTCGCTTCTGTGCAGATTCCCACAACTCCCGTGCGGCCGCACCGTTTCCATGAGCCACGGTTGCAGCAAAACATCACATCGTTACCAATGGTCCGCCTGTTTTCACCAAAGCCAGGCGAATGATTCTGACAAGAGAAAAAAATGCTCACGCAGAATTCGAGCA